CAAAAGTGACAAAGCCATTGCCTTGGAAATTGAGGAGAAAGAGAAGGCTGGGAGAAAAAAATGCAGGGGAACAGAGCTTCTTGTGACTGGTCAGCAAACAACAAGGTAAATGCCTTGCAGAGTTAATACCAACTGACTGTATTCAACAGAAATGGTTTTGTTTCTCTGGCTGCCGTGAATTTAGCTGCCTTTCTGCCAGCAATTAGGCAAGAGGAGGCCCAGGCCAAACAAACAAAAGCTGTCTGTTTTCATTAAACACACTTCCCCTCGCGTTGCAGAAATTAATTATACTTCATTCCAACCAAAGTCTCGGAATTAGAGGACGAGGGAGGGGAACGATGTTAACACAATAACAAATCTTTTAAAAACAGATTAACTAAACTGAGCTCACAGGAACCTATTCCTAGTTTGGTCAAAAAAAGATTAAAAACATAACAAAACAAAACCCACATTACCATTGTAACTGGGTAGCCCTATAATGCTGTTATTTCCTTTGCTACAAACAGGCCTTAAGCTTAAACTCTACACTGAGTCTGCAAGGCCTCGGAACTGAGGTTCACTCTGTCTGCACTCTTCCTGACTTGCCTGCAGTTTCCTTTACTTGCTTTAGCAATTCCTCTAGCTGACCAGGTGTCCAAGGCTGTTTTACTTGCGCTTCCCCACGCACAGTGCAACCACGGTGTCAGAGCCCCAGCAGCAGCGAGCAGCTGCTCCGCGCAGAGCGAGGCCCCGAGCGGCGCCGGCAGAGGCAGCCAGGCCTGCTGGCAGCAGCGGCTGCAGGAGCGGGGACCGGGGGCACGTGGCAGAGCGGCGCGGGGCAGAGGGCCACCAGCTCTGCACTGGGACCGTACCCCTCCTCCCTGGCTTGGGATCCTCGCCCCTACAGCCCCCTGTGTAGCTGTAATAATAAGATCTCTAACAGCAATGATTCTTGAATTATACTCTTTTCAATTATAGTAACATATATATACATACATACATATATATACACAGACACACACACACATATATATGTAAATAATGCTTCCTTTTTGCCCATAAACAAGATTCTGAGCATACCACCATGACTCCAGAAAATGCTACATAGCAATGGTGGTATTAATTATATTTTGCTTGCATCAAATATGCATTCACCGAAGGTTTAAACTCCACATGAATTGTATTCAGCCGATTGAGGATGAGTATAATGCTAGACTGATTTTCTTGTTCTCTCATCTTTGATTCATTCTGAATATAGGGCCCTGCTCTTTCAGATCCTGTGCCTTTTGAACCTGAGCTGATGTTCTTAATCTCTTGATTAATGTCTATTCTTGCAGCAGGACAGAAATTATGCTTAAGCCTTCACATCAGTTGTTTATGAAAATTCACCTCAATATAATTTGATGAACAACCAGTGTGACTCTCCAGCTCCATATGGGTGAAGTTGAGGTATACTTTTTCATCCTCTGGTTGTGTGATAATGTAGATACATTGTCGGTTGTTAATGTAAGGGTTAGGCCAGAAAGGGGACATGATAACTCCTTCACTATCTGTGTAATTTCCTCCACAATTTGTATCTGCTATATTAAGAAAAAAGAAAATTAGTTGAGTTATTCAGAAGTACCATAATTCTTTCAGGTTAGGCTGCCTCTGTACAACGGCTGCAAATCAAAGAGGCTTCCTGTATTATTAAAATGTAGTAAATTGTATTAAATTTAATTTGTAGCTATTTATCACATCTATTGATGTCCTGTTGGCTACATCATAGGAATGTGACAGTCCAAGGTTTAATGCTGAATTTAACTTACCAGGTGATGTTGTATACACAATGTAGAAACCTTTATCAGTAACTAAGTCATCAGAATGGAAGTGAATCCAGGCATATGGACCAGTGGTTTGGAGTGGGGGTGGAGAGACAGTGCTGCAGTATTTACTGAGGACTGGGTCTTGTGGAAGGAGACCATCTCGAATCTAAACAGAATGATAAATCGGCATTTAGGATTTTTAAAGCTATTTTAAGGCGCCCCAGGAGATATTGTGCATGGTGGGTGGAACAAAAGCTGTTAGAAAGTTTCCCCCAAACACACAGGCAGCAAGAAATAGATCCACTGGCAGAACCGTGTTGGCGCTCCTAGAAGAGATCATTAAGGTTTTTGCAAGAGGGAAGAAAATATCAAGATACCTGCTATTATATTGTTTTACTGAAATCATCCTCTGCAGGTCCTGGTTTTGAAGAACATCTCATTCTAAACCATTTTCTCATTTTTATAATTGGGGATTTGTGAATTCCATAATGATCAATTTGTACTTGAGAAAAAGGCCAAAGCTCACACATGAAGCCACTGATGGTGGTACGATAAGAACCTATTAATCTTAGGTCCATTTCTCTAATAGTTTCTCTAATAGTCATCCTTTTGCTGATGAATTTTCTCTGAGTAGGCATTTGACTAAGTGTTTGAGGACTGGACTTTGTAAAAAAGGGAAAGTTGCCCAATAGGTATTTGGCCTGAATCCTGTTCTCTTTAGTGACAAGACTTCTATTAACTTCAGTGGAACAATTTTTCATTCTCTTCTACTATCCTGTGTCGGAGTGTCCCTCCACGACTGGGGTAAATGAACATGTCAACACAGGATTTAATTTTCAAGCTTCCTTTTCCATACATAGAAAAAAGGTTTTGAAAAATCTTGTTCTGCAATAACACTGCTTTAAAATTTTGCCATAATTCACTAGGTCACTTTACCTCTACATAGTCATAGCTGCAGTTTTCATGGTGTTCTAGGCTTAGTGTACCAAAAGCAAAGGTGATGAGGAGGCCAGGACTGGTTGAGATGGTCCAGAAACAGTCTCTGTTAACAGGATAGTTACCCGGGTATCCTGGAGAACTTATTGAGCCGTAAGTACCTGTCAGTTCACCACCACATTCTAGAAGAAAAGAAATACCACACAATGCAGTTTTTAATGTTGCATATCAATCAAAGGATGAAATGTCCTATAGTGTTTAAATTAAACTTGCAAACTGTAAAAGGCAAAAAAAACAGGGTAACTTCCTGCTCAAAATACCAAATACATCTGAGAGAAAGAGGATTAATTAAAAGAACAACATGTCCAGGAATGCATGCCCATTTGGTGATTCCTCACAAGAAGCAGAAAAGCAGCCTTAAAAACTAATGTAAGATATTAGTAGAAAGTTCAGGTAGAGGCCTGAAGTTGGACTTTTAATGTCTAAAAATAACATGAGTTACCATTTCAACATAACTCATTAGTAAAATACTGTCTTATTGCTACTGATTTTTCCTAATGAAGAAAATAAATCATTCATTTTGTTCCACATGATAAATTGCCTGAGATTACATCAACCTTACCAGGATCCCGAGATTCCCACTGAACGGTAAAACCTCCAGCTGTAATGGTGTGGTCTGAATAGAACCAAAAATACAGGGAATGGTGGGAACTGGAGAGCTCTGCCGGAGGCGACGAGCCACAGTATTTCCCCAGCATGTGTGCTGATGCTGATGCCCCATCATGGATTTGAAGGAAGTCGGAGCTGCAGTCATTACTTGCCTCCAGTTGGAAGAATGGGAAAGTTATGTGCAGAATCTAACAGAAAGTAGCAAAATATGAAATCATTCTTTGTCCATTAACTGCTTATGCAGTAATTCTGCATGACATGGGTATACTTGTTCATATAGTGGTGAGAATCCCCAAAGTTTGGAGCCATTTCCTAAACAGATTCAGGATAGAAGAAGATTTTACAGAATCTCAAGGGTCACGACACAACAAAGTAGAAAGAATTTGGACAAAGGACTTGTCTGGAAAGAACATTCTTTCTACACACTAATAATTATTATCATTTGCCTGTGTGTGCTACATAAAATACTGTGAAAGGCTTAAAATAGAGAATAAATAAGTTTCCCATGGTGTTTTTTCATGTCAGATAATTAAAACTGCTCAGCTTTTCTAGGACTGAAATATTATTATGGGATTTAAAAATGATTTTTTTGTGCATATCAACTCCGTGTCTTACAAGCCAGCTCCAAACAAAAAGTGGCATACACAGCTTTGTGCAAGTTTGGATTCCCCAATGATGTGTCTAAAAATAGGTCTGCTGAAGACACTAATGGCTCTCAGACTTAAAGCAGAGAATCCATCACATGCATATAATGCTCTGTAAATCACTTTTTGTAAATCACTTCTTGTAAATCATGTTTATGCAGTATATATTACAGCATATAATGGTGTATAAACCACTAGAGGTTTATAGAACTACTTAATTCATTTCCTTACAATGTCAAAAATATCAAACATTTGGATCCCAAGCAAGAAGTCCCATGCTAAAGGGTGAATAATGTGTTTTCTGGTTGTTAAGATATAACCCAAGTAGAAAAGTTAAGCAAATTAGCATCAGAATATACATTTGAGTGTAGCATTTAGAAATTAATCATTAAAAAAAGCAAATACTTTTCATTACACACACCCATTGACTATATGAAGCCAGTATTCCACATTTCAGGGGCTCAGAAATCAGACACAGAAAATTCTGAGCCAAGGGCAGAGCATTTCTTATGAAGCCATTCACTGTCTAAAGTTGTGCAAGACACAGCTTCTATAGGTGGTTGTGGGTGATGTCAGCTCTCATAAATTTATTAGAAATCTTCAGTCGCTTGGTGTTTTTTTTAAGGTCTTATTTTTGGAGGCAATGATTGTGGAATAAATAAATTCTAGCCTTCAGCTAAAGAAACTTGAAAGCTCTGAAAACATGATCCAGGCAAATTCTTAGGCTCAGGAGCCTGAAGGCTTATAAGAACCTAAAACTAATTTTTGCTAAGTTCTTTATTCCGTGGGTGTTGGATGACTATCTTGGAACTCCTGCCATGAGGACAGCTGTGTTTGCTGTTTGAGCTGAGGGGTCCCACAGCATGAAGGTTTCTTTAACCCGAGCTCTATTTTACCTTGTTGGGATTAGTTTGAATAACCCAAGCACAGCTGACTCTATTATCATACCGCTGGCTGCTTGGGTTGTTAGGGTAACTGAACGTTCCTCTGGAGCCCGAAAGGTATCCTCCACAAACTGCAGGAAGAGAGATTAAATTAGTTAATTAATTTGTGCCATAACTAACTCTCTAACAACAGTTTTGGCTTGCTAGACATTTAAAACAGAGGTGAAAGAAATTCTACAAAGAACTTTAGGACTTATTTACTGTAAAGTGGAATGACACCAAAGGAAAAATGAGCATAATTGCTTTCAGAGAAAAGTAGCCACTGGAAGAAGTATAAAGGTTTTTCAGGTGCAATATATGAATTATGTCATAATTCTCTCAAATATGTTATCTCTCAGGAAAATGTCAATAAAGTAGTTTATTTCCAGAAAGCTAGCTCTATCTGAAATATTCCAATTTTTCAGCTACACTGAAATAATATTTTGAAGCTAACTAACTAACTATATATATATATATATAAATATACATATAACAATATAAAGCTGTCTTTATCAAGAGTTATTCTTCATAATCCTATTTATCCTTTAGGATCATTTTTTTGGAGCTGAAAATATTGCTCCTGATATACCCTGGTCTCTTCTCTCACTGAGCCATTTGATGAACGGGAGCTGTGGGGTAGGTTTCCTAAATTGCTGGGGAAAAAATGGCTGCAAAGTGGCCAAAAATACAATGACGATACAGACGTAAAACAAGCAGCTACAGCTTAACACTCAGCTGATACTAATGAAATAGTCAATAATCCTCAGCAATCTGAAATGAAATATTTTCACTTGGGGAATGGCAAAAAATATATAATTTTGTTTGAAATGTCCACCCAAAATATCTCACCGTTTCTGAACAAGATTTAGAACTATCATGTCATAAAATTTATTTTTTCCTCTTGACTAGGAACTAACACAAAGGTTGATACATTAATAATTCTCACTGGACCGAAAGTGACTTTCTATTCTTTCATTTATGAACAGTTTAGAAAAAAAATCTTTTTTCACATAAATATGCTTAATAATTAAAAATTTTTCATTGGAGATTAAAAGAAAATAGGAAGGAGCCTGAAGTATCTGTAAAACAGAACAGATTTCACGGAGCCTGAATGAAAGGTTTACATTCTGTATTCTGCACAAAATTAATAATCTGCTTTCTTCACAGCAACCTCTAATACATATGAGCCATCTGACAGATGGATGCCACAGGGACACACACTGGAATGCTATCCTGGCCTTGTTTAATTAAAATTTATGTTTAAAAAAAAAGGAAGAAAGAAAGGAAGCAAATATAAGCCAGTAATAAAAAAAATGATGTCGATAATAATGCTAAAGGCAGGATTTTGCATTCATGTTATCAAACTGCTACTCCCCCAGCTTCACTGGTAACATTTCTTTCACAACATTTCTGCTTGTAAAGCTTGCCTGGCTTTTCACATTGACTACAAATGTCAGGACCTTTCAGCTTCACAATGAACAAAAGAAACAGTATGCACAAAACTGAAATATTATATTTTCCTGTAAATCTGTTCTCCTATCAAATTATCTCTCCCATATGGCCAAGTGTTGACATATTCAGGACTTGGAAGATGGCTTATTGGGAACAGAAATGGGAGTTTAAGATGAGTAGGGTCTCATCAAGGCCAGCAGGTCTACAAGGGCCTTGGTGCTGGGCCATTGCTCTCTAGCAAGGGCTCTTGGGTCATACTCTGCCCTGGGGACTTTGGATCTGGACCTGTGCTCCTCTCCCCTGGGTTTTCCGTGCCAAGCCGGTGCCGACCCGCGTGCCGGTGACAGGCACGGAGCACGGCCCGCGGCGCAGGGCCCCCACCATACCGTGCTGGGCCTGCTGGCAGTGCAGCCCTGTCCAGGCGCTGGGGCACTCGCACGAGTAGCCGCCGACGCCGTCCGTGCAGGTGCCCCCGTTCTGGCACGGGTTGCTAGCGCACTCGTCGATGTTCTCCGTGCAGTTGGTGCCCGTCCAGCCCCCGTTACACACGCAGAAATACCCAGAGATTGTTGCCTGCAGGTATAAACAAATGTAACAAATGCAATGAACATGGATCATCTAAAGAAATCAGAAAGACTGATGTTTACTTGTGTTATATAGAGATTTCAAAGCAAAGAAATAAAGCGTTTGGCATTTAATGGTCTTGATGGTAATTGGTGGATACTAACATAAACCCAAAGTTTAACCAGATTATGTAGCTCTTTTCTTCTATTAAGTTAGTTCTTTGCAGAGCCATTTCAAATTACTTTTTGAAAAATCTGTGTTTATTTAGCCATTCATAAAATTGTTTGCTTGGCTTTGAAATGACCATCTTAGAAACAAATCAATCCAATTATCTAAACTTTATAAATAGCAAGCAAGATAACAGCGGTTTATAAATCATTCCAAGCCTGTTTCTGGGAAGTCTACTTTTCAGTTACATTGGCTGGTACTTGCCTTTTCACCCTGAGGGATATTAAACAGGAACATTTTCATTGCCTTCTCTGTTATTACTTATTCTGAATTTCTCTTTTTCTTTCCTTACATCATCTTTTCTCTAACATTTGCTACTTCTCCTTATAACCAAGTCTATCCATACTTCTAATTGTTTTAATTTCTTATGTCTTCTTTCTTTTTATTTTTTTACAACAAAAACAGAACATGGTATTCCAACATATGTGCCATAAAATAATTTGTTCCCTATTATTTCTTTTCCCATTGTACAGAATTGTACTTTAGAAGATAAAAAGGGAGCCTTCTGATCTGGGTTACCTGATATTTAATTAACATTACATTGCATTTGTCATTATGCTGGCCAAATATAGCTTCTGTGTTCTTCTATTTAATTATATACTTCTGTAGTCCCATTACTGGAGTACCTGACTACCTCATTATGTTTAAGTAGTAGTGCCGTAGTCATGACAGTCTAAGGTTGGGTTTTAGAGAACATTTACTGGAGGAAGTCATATGTTTTATTAGACTGATATAGTTAGAAAACATAGACAAGATCTGAGCACCAAAGGCTCCATTAATATCTGAGAGAAAGCAGCAGAGGTGTCTATGGAAGAGAGGACGAAGAGTGATGGTGAGGAGTAGAGGGGGAATGAGGAGATCATCTCTATTAACACAGATGTTTCCACTTAAGATTTCAGTCCCACCAGTCTTCATGGTGCTAGTGGTTATATCTGCATCACATTGTCTCCAACTGTGAAGGTTCCAGCACTTACCAAGCACTGCCCATTTGCACATGGGTTTTGCAGCTGACAGATGTCACTGAGAGGAGAGCACCCACTTGGCCCATATCCACTCCCAGTGTGCCCAGGTGTGCAGGAACAAAATGGCACTGCCCCTTGGGAGACGAAACAAGAGAGATTCAGTAACTATTGCAGTACTTGTTACAATGACAATGGCAATTTTGTCAGTGAAGGTCCTTCACGTTTTGAAGAAAAGCCTTTAGATAATTTTAAGTTACTTTTTCTTTTGGTACCTTCCGCAGTCAGTACCCAATTTGATCATGAAAAGATCACTAGTGTTGCTTTGCTGGGAGCACCTGAGAGCCCAAGGTCAGCTTTGCAGGAAGTTATGGAAGCAAAGGTGAAATGGAGGAGAATGGTAAATACAGCTGAAACTAGAAAATCACCTAGAAGGAAGTGGTGAAAATCAACACGTCCACATGAGGTAATGTGCAGTTCCCTCACGATGGAGCGTGAATGTGTTGCTGTTGGTGTCTACATGAGGCCTGCTGGTTTTAGCTGATCTGCCTTTCCTTGGGTAAGGCAAAACTGACTGTGGAGAAGGGGCTGCAATATAAATATGTTACTACAAAGCAGGTACTGTCTAATCAAACTCTCTTCAAGAGTCACATTGATATTACAGTCCTTAAAAAGGCACCATACCTGGACCAGGGGTACAAGTTGCCAAAGGATGGCACCCTCCATTACTTATTGAGCAGATATCAACTTGGGTACACGTTTGTCCATCTCCCTCATAACCTATTCAGAGTAAAATTTTAGTTAGGCTGTAATAAATCATGTCCTCTGACAGCAGAACAATCATATGGTGAGAAGTGTTAGTGTACATATTATACATTAGTGTAAGGTGTAAAATCAGCCTTCTACAGTTAAAAAAACACTGAAGTAAAATATGGCAGATTTATTGTGGTTCCGACAATGAAAGAGTGGATTCTGATCTTAACCGAATCCTTACTCCATTTTAGAAAAACAGTATATCTAGATCTACACTCTCATGGCCTGGCCCAGGGTCCACCACACAGCTCTGCTGAGGCCACCACATCCAGTGACAGCTCTTCAGTGCTCAGTACTTTCAGAAGTTGCAGCCATGCCATTTAGAGGAGGACAAATAGAAACACTTTTTCTTGCTAGCATTCCTACCATTGGTAGCATACATCACATAAAGCATTTAAATCAATAAACCACTAATTACATAGACATAAATTGCCACTTCCTCTGTTCTATCTGCATGGCAGTAGAAATGCTGCTTCCTTAGGCAGCATCCAGAGGGTGACTCTGGGTGCTATACTGTAGCATTGCTTTTAGCCTATGACACATCTCTAATGTGAAAATAAACTACAGTTTCATAACTATACTATGAAACAGGCTCAAGTGTGCTGAATCTACATCTTTGAAGCCAGTCCATGTTTTTATCAACAGAAAACCCATTATTTTACCTGGTGGACAAAGCCCACAGTGGAAGGATCCCATCGTGTTGATACATTGAACCATCGGTGCTGTTGAGCAGCCTCCATTATTATTTTCACACTCATCAATGTCCTGGCAACTGTACCCGTTCCCTTGCCAGCCTAAGAAGAAGCAGAAGAGAGACACTAACATGGAAAATACTTGACCTTTTCCTTTTCTTCTTTGACCGTATCTTTCTTAGCATAGAAAAATATACTACTTTGAATTTCACTTCAGTAAAAAAAAAGAGAATAAGAACTGTACCTCTCCTAACAGATGCAAATTAAAGCTAGTCTATAGAACAAGTTACAAACACATTAGGGAGGAGAAGTGTGTGTTAACCATTTATTTTAACTGTATTCAGGATATGTCAGGACTAAATACACTTTTACCTAAAGATGAGGCGACTCTGATTTAGCACATGCATGTACAATCTGCAGCAAAGGCTCATTCCAATTCTGGCTAAATACTTCAAATCCTCATATTCATCTCTTACACATGCTACCTACCCAACTTGGGAAGATTAGTCGTAGATTTTAAGGTCTGAAGTATCTATTATGGTTTTTGTTATGCCTTACGGACATAGAGGTAGTACTATGCATAGTGGATAGGATTCCTCCTACCTACCTCAATCTAGTCATCCTAAGCTCCTGCTAAAGTCAGTGGAGAGAAATAGGCACTTTAAGAATGCAATTTGTGGGGCTTACTGACATGCTCGCTTTGGGATGGGGTAAATCATGTGCTAGAGCCCGCTGCCTATGTTATATAGATAAGACACAACGTGTGGACATTTATTCTCTTGACTACAAACCACAGCATCTTATCCAGCACTTCCATGTGCATCCAGAGTGTGTGCTTATGAAATGCAGGCAGGACTGCCTGCTGCCGCCCGTCCCTGAGCGAGGACGTGGAAGGAGACGCTACCTGCAGGGCAGGGCCCACACGTGTAGGAGCCGGGCGTGTTGTGGCACTGCACGAGTGGGTTCTGCGAGCACGGGTGGCGCGGGAGGCTGCACTCGTCCACATCAGCGCTGCAGGCAGGGCTGCCTGGAGGCGACATCCAGCCCACGTCACAGACACAGCGGAACTTGGGCTGCCACGGCAAACATCACGTTACACATTTAAAAGCATCAGAAGAATGACCAAGAGAAAGGCCAGAGGAAGCGTTTTCATAAGTGCCTG